TATTCATTGCACTACATTGCAGTGATTCATTCACTTGAACTGTATATACCCACTGTACATATACATTTGTAATTATGTTGATCTATCTGCACACTTCTGATTAATAATAGCAACCTGTACATATATTCATCTATTATAAATCTTTGTTCACAGTTAATACCACCTCTATATAATGTTCATAGAACATCCATCTGTAAATATGACCATAGTTATTCTATAACTGCACTTTATAACTTATTCCTGTATCCTGCACTTGCTGCTATTGTACTGCTGGTTAGACCTAAACTGCATTCCGTTGCCTTGCACATGTGTAATGACAATAAAGTTGAATCTAATCTAATGTAACATGTTAGCCTTAGTTTACAGGTATAGTCTGATGGCTGAAGTGGCTGCGAGTTGATGAGTATGAACGAACCAAAATGGAGCTAAAAATAGTCGTCAAAACAGCATGATATAAAATTACAGTATAGATAATTGACATTTTCATAAATAGAAACTACAATTTAAAGCAACAAGCAAAAATCCCAGATTTTCTATGAGCAAGACAAAAACAATTCCCTTTAATGTCTGGAATGAATTTCTTAAACTTCTGTGACTTTCCATAAACTGCATGTCCTGTGGGAACCCTGATATTATTATGTTGTTAGATTTTGACTTTTCTTCTCTGTGTGTGTGTCAGGACTCAGAGCTGGCGCGTCTGTGTAAGGCACGCGAACAAGAGCTGAACTACAAGAAGCAGATAGACCATCTGGAGGTGGAGAAGCAGCAGAAGCTGGCAGACATCGAGAGTCAACGCTTCAAGCATTTGATGGATAACCTGGGCACTGAAACCCTGAAGGAAATGGCCAGAGCCGGGCCTGAACTACAGGTGAGTGTCTGCGATCACAAATGAATATCCTTCTATAGAGCCTTTACATCACAGAAGTTGACATACAAGCATTTTGGTATGGGTGTGAATGGATTCTGCTGCTTTCAATAGGTTAAATCTGTGTTTCTCAACCACGATCCATGAGGACCACCAACACTGCATGTTTTAGATGTCTGCTTTGTCACACCCATTACAGGTCTTTCATACTCTGGTAATGAGCGGATGATCTGAATCAGGTGTGTTTGGGTAAGGACAATGTGCAGAGCTGGTGGTCCTCCAGGAATGTGGTTGAGAAACACTGGGTTAAATGATCATCATTAGATTAAAAATGGTGTTCATACGGATCACTGTCTGCTCAGAACATTCAGTGTTAGTTCAGAACGCAGATCTCAGCAGACCTAAAATGTGCCTCGTCTCACTCACCCTTAGTCCCTAGTATCTAAGGCGATACAATGGTTTGTGATTGAGTGTAAATAAAAAGCGAAACAGCGGCACTCTAAGGAGCATTGTTGTCATGGCAACCCAAAGGACGCCAGTCAGTTCAACACAAAAACACCATGGCTACATGCATTAAAATGTTATATCAAGGCCTATATAAAGGACAAATCGACTATATATATTAAGACTCGTAAGCTGGTAAATGATAAACATTAGCTGTACAACATTCAAGCAGATGAAGATGCACTATAGCCTCTCAAGAATAAATTTAAATAGGCTCTAAATCATGCAAACTGTTACTTTAATGTTTTACTCCTTAGTAATTTGTTTTTCGTTTCTTAATTAGTGCTACTTCAGAAATTATTTTTAAAACAGACTTTTTTTTTCAGATTTGATAAATTCATCAACACAACAAATAATATATAATAAACAAACAACCAAAACTGACTAAATTTGTAGCCTATAGCTTGCTAAATTTTGCACGCAGATGAAGCCAGAATATTAATGCAATGCGCTAAATTACATATTAAGCAGAATTTTAAACAATTTTTAAAAATAAAACGCATCCTCTTGTGTTTGAAATGCATATGTCTTGCATTGCAAACTTCTGCATAACATGTAATTTAGCAGATTGCATTAATATTGTGTTTGCCTTTATGCAAAATTAAACTATGTTTTTAACTAACTGTAGGCTACAAATATACAAGTCATTATGAATTGTGTTTTATTTATTTATTGTTATATATTATTTGTTCTGATGTTGTTGAATTTATCAAATGTGAAAAAAAAAGTACAAATTATTTCTGAAATAGCCTTAATTACGAAACGAAAAAGTTATTTAGGCTACAAATTTGGTCAGTATGTTTTATTTATTCTTTATATTTGTTATATCATTTTAAATAGCATTTGATTTTGTTACAACTGTTATTTTAGGAGGAATAGTTCCTACAGCTTTACTATAAATGTAAATGCATTTGTATTTGAAGACATCAGATGCAAAAACCTCCAAATGCTGTCTCATTTTTGTCTCTCAAAATGAGAATTTTTCTTAACCTCCTCGGTTTGTTCAGTTATTTCACCTAAAAGGCAATGAAGGGAACTTATCCGTCACTATAAATGTAAAATTACTGAGCCAACACACAGGAGTTACAGAAAATAACAAATGGCTTTTAGAGGTTTTTGCATCTAAACTCTTAATTTATTTATTTTTGTGATTTCAAATATATATATATATATATATATATATATATATATATATATATATATATATATATATATATATATATATATATATATTTATATATTTATTTTACACCACTTCAGGTTTGGTTTCTGTGCTGCTTTTGCCGTGTAAAGATAATTATAGACCATTTTGGGGGATGTAAACAATAACAATGCACATTTCCTGTTTTACATTTTTAATTTCCAGAGCTTCCGAGAATCCAAAAAAAGTCCAAATATTGATAAATAATCGTATGGCAGGTGTTTAAACATTAAGTTATGATTAAATTGCCTCTTGTTACAGTTTTGAAATAGTTTGACAACAAGCAGGACATTTTTAAGGGCCAATGACATAACCACATAGAAATGGCCTCTAAACATGTACCGTTTTGTCTTCCAGGTGAAGCTCCTGCAGTCTTTGGGTCTGAAGTCTACTCTTATTACAGACGGCTCCTCTCCCATTAATCTCTTCACCACTGCCAATGGCCTATTGGGCTCTCTGCAAGGCAAAGACAAAGATGAATAAATAAAAAGATAGGAGAGATGGAGGTTACGGGGCCTTATTCCACATGATATGCATAATAAAAACTGTCCTGCTATTATGGTTTTCACTGCAAATAGCTATTGCTATAAAGCCACTGAGGTGCAACATTAGTGTATAACATGAACTAACATTCAAATACTGTGATCATGTTTCTGTTTAGTAACACACGTTCAAGAGCAATATCTTGTGTTAAATGTATCATGTTTAAATGTGCCTTTAAAGCATTCAGTCGAACCCAAAGAGCTTTGTGTTTTATGCTGCTTTTTATAGCAATAAACTAATATTATGTGTCTAATAATGCCTTCTCGGGTATCAAATAAACCATCATAGAAGTCATTTCTCAAGTATTTCACATTGTTCATGCAACTGATTCTGCACTATTTTCCTTGATTTCCTCCATTATTATAAATTATAGTATACTGGTACTCTGTTGAATAGTTGAATCCAGAATGGTTAAACCAGTCAAAATCTGTAACATTTTTACACATTTCTATTAGACTTACTATATTCATTTGTCAATATGTCCTGAATTGATTAACTGTGTGCACATTGAGAAACGTATAGATTATAAATCACTGGATTGGCCAGTGATCTAACATATCTCTAAAATAACATAATCTAATAGCATCTATAGTCATTTCACATAGTCTTTAGAACTGTAATCAATTTACATAACAAAATACTGACTAGTACACTGTTATATTGGCAACATGGTTAAACATTTTGACTTGTCTGAGGACAATGGAGACTGATGTGTCCTTCAGATTACACTACTACATTTTTACAAATACTTAAACATTTAAGAGATTAACGAAAGATTTTGAAGGTAATATACATCAAGTGTGACTTGACTTGGTAGTACTGTTTGCGGAAATTGTTTGTAGAAACACTAATAGCCCTCGAGTTTTGTCTGTATTTCAGTGTTTGGCCACAAAACGGCGCTGTTATCCCGATGCTCTATGTGGTGAAGCATTTGACTCACTTTTGTGATTCGAATCATTAAGATCGGCGATTCAGCAAGATGAACTTATATCAGGGGTGGGCAAACTCGGTCCTGGAGGGCCGGTGTCCTGCACAGTTTAGCTCCAACTCTAATCAAACACACCTGCTTGTAGATTTCTAGTGATCTTGAAGACACTGATTGGCATGTTCAGGTGTTTTTGATTAGAGTTGGAGCTAAACTATGCAGGACACCGGCCCTCCAGGACAGAGTTTGCCCACCTCTGACTTATATATATATATATATATATATATATATATATATATATATATATATATATATACCATTTGTACATTGTCGTATTATCTTTCGGGAGGAGGCTGTGTCATATTTTATTCAACTTGCTGGTTGAATAAAAGTAACTTTAAGCCAGAATTTGCCTTTTATCAATACACGTTGCATAATGGATCCCTTAAAACACAGGTGTCAAACTCAGTTTCAAAAGGGCCGCAGCTCTGCACAGTTTAGTTCCAACCCTAATTAAACACACCTGATCAAACTAATTGAGTCCTTCAGGCTTGTTTGAAACCTACAGGTAAGTGTGTTGGAGCAGGGTTGGAACTAAACTGTGCAGGGCTTCGGCCCTCCAGTAATTGAGTTTGACACCTCTGGTCTAGGGGGTCGAATCGAGATCGCGATCTTTTTTCGATTAATTGTGCAGCTCTAAGTGACATTAATCTTAACAATCTGTTGTCATTTCTGATATTTGGCATTAAGAACAAGTTGGGGCAGGGTTGGAACTAAACTGTGCAGGGCTTCGGCCCTCCAGGAATTGAGTTTGACGTCCCTGCCTTAAAAAGAGACTTAATTCAACCGACTCAAATGATTCGAGTCCCTAAGATGATTCAAAATCATCACCACTATCCAGAGCTTTCTGGATACAAGAAAACCTCACAAAAAAAAAACACGCGCTCAGCACCGAGTCGCGAGCACGCGCACACAGGTTCGCGCAGTGAGGGAGAAGAACAGCGGGCGCGAGTGTGAAACAGAACCGCAGTGGATCACATGCAGAAGAACAGCCCACGTTTATATTGTAGTGATACAAAAAAGACACAAGATAGAATAAACTAATTCTTCATTCTGGTAAATCTCAATTCTGTAGCACCTCTTTAAACTTTCACGTGCCTGCGGATTCATTTCAATTCAAAATGAGAAGGATTATGCTGATTTTCGCACTGGATTAAGGTGAGTTTACTTTAGATCTGCATGCTTGCTGTTTTAGTTTCATTTGATTCTCGCATCATTTACTGGATGTGGCTGTGTCACTTTTCTTACTGCTGTATTTTGTATGTGTGTGCGCTCTATAAACAGTATTTCCACTGAATTATGATGATCATTTGCCATGCGCGTGTAAAAGGCGCGCGTCCCATATGTGTGTGCGTGTGTGTGTTGTCTGCTCATCTCCAGACTGCTACCTCTTTCATTTTCAAAGAGTGAGACGGATGAAAGGGGAAAGTCATTGATGTAAGATTGATTGATGATCCAATCGATTCAAGCGATATGTTAAACGCAGCATGGTGCACGAGTCAGGTGCACAGTTTATTATGTGTTTGCCTGTCATAAATCAGAAAAGGTTTTAGTTGCAGATATGGGTGTGTCATTTGATGCTCTTTGTTTTTGTTCAGACACCGGTGGTCGTGTGGACTTTTAAGTACAGCATGTACTTCAAATCATAAATGCAACATGACTTATATCCATTAAAAATTATATATATGTTAAGGTTTTTAGAATAAGATTTGACAAAAAATCTAAATAATCTTGGGTGTGACTGAATGAGGCTGTTTTATTGACACCAATATATAATATATATATTGCTTTTCTATAAAATCGGTCATGTTTAAGATCTGAAAGCAGAGGAGGATTAGAGGACAGTACACTAATAAATCTGGCTGTGGTGCTTTATTATTTAATTTCTGCTCCTTGCTCAGAATGGATTCCTGCTCTGAAGCAGAGACATGTCGGCAGGTGAACAGGTGCAGGCTGAAATGTAAGAAACAGCATCTTTGGTTTCAGCTCACTTGACATTACAGCATTGCAAGTTCCTGTTAGCACAGTGGCTTTGTATAGCTCAGTTAAAATATTGTGCTATTGTTTTTAGATATAATAATATTAGTTCAAACCGTGCCTTTGGGGTTTGATTATCTGTTTGTTTCAGCGGTAGGCGGGTTAGTTTGCAATTTAAAATAGCAATGATGAATTTCCCCTTCAAACGGGGGGAGACACAAATATTTGTGACAAATGAAGAAAAACCTTAATTGGCAGATCCAGTTCCAGTTATTTGTTATACATTTTTGAATATTTTTGAAGTTCAGCCATGTAGAATAGTTTTATTACGTCATTTTCACATACAGTTGAAGTCAGAATTATTAGCCCCCCTGTTTATTTTCCCCACCAATTTCTGTTTAACAGAGAGAACATGTCTTCAACACATTTCTAAACATAATAGTTTTAAAAACACATTTCTAATAACTGATTTATTTTATCTTTGTCACGATGATTGAATATTATTTGACTAGATATTTTTCAAGACACGTCTAGCTTAAAGTGACATTTAAAGGCTTAACTAGGTTAATTAGGTTAACTAGGCAGGTTAAGGTAATTAGGCAAGTTATTGTATAATGATGGTTTGTTCTGGAGACTATTGAAAAAAATGTAGCTTAAAGGGGCTAATAATTTTAAGGACCTTAAAATGTTTTTCAAAAAATTAAAAACTGCTTTTATTGAAGCCGGAATAAAACAAATAAGACTTTCTCCAGAAGAAAAAACATTATCAGACATACTGTGAAAATGTCCTTGCTCTGTTAAACATCATTTGGGAAATAGTTAAAAAAGGAAAAAAAATCAAAGGGGGCTAATAATTCTGACTTCAACTGTATGTAAATTACACTGAAAAAATTATTCACTAGATTTACTAACATTTTTTAAGGAAAGTGGTTGCAAACAATTTATATGGGCTGAATTTAAACAAACAAATTAAACTGAACATTAATTTAATTACATTTATTTTTTTGTTTAAATTTAGCTTGAATAAAATGTTTGCCGCCACTTTTTCCAATGATTCAGTTTTTCAGTGTACAATACAAAGGTTTTGGGCAAGTGTGTTTTGTTAATGTTTTAAAAGATGTTTCTTGGGCACACCCAATCGAAACGTATTTGTTTACAAAACTGATAAAATAGTGAAATAATTGATTATTGTTTTTAAAATGCAATTAATTTATTACATCTTTCAGTATCATGTGCATATAACATATTAAAACAATTAATGACAAAAAGTCAAGACAACAAAAGTTTTGTTAACACTATTTGGATGGTCCATTTGAGTATTGTCTGTTTAATATCTGTTGATACTGCTCCTTCAACAGACATTTAACTGACTGAAAGAAACTTTGCAAGTACATGTCAATTTACAATAATCCTAACCCCAACCTAACAGTCTACTTAATCTAAAGAGAATTAGTTGGCATGTAGATGCAATGTTACTCAAATTCAACAAATGGACTATTAAAGTAAAGTATGAGCCCTGTTTTTATGTTGATTTAGCTTATTTTAATAAGTAATCAGTTTTCAAAAAAAATAATAAGTTATACAAACTGAATAACCTATTATGGTTATTCCATTTCATTGATGTAATTTGAGATGACTAGACTACTAAATAAAATAAAAAAATTAAATCAGCATGAATATTTTTACAGTGTGCTGCTTCAGAAATGATTCCAAAATGCTAAATGGATGCCTAAAGACTTTGTTCACCAAAAAATTAACATGTTAGTTTACTCACCCTCAGGCCATCCAGTATTCAGATGGCTTTTTCTCAGTAATTGAAAAGGTGTTATTGCTGATTCATTATATTAAAAATAAAAAGTCAACTGCTACTGGCATTTTAAAAATGCCTAAAAACTTATTACTAGCAGAACAGAATGAAAAATAATGTAGTTTTGGTTTTGTTCGTCAGCAAAATAAATTTCTATTATCGATGATGAAAATACCTTCATTATTTACTTGTACATCAATTTAAGTGATGCCTTACATGTTTTCATTTGTTCTGATCCAACAGTTCTCAACCACTAAATTCCCACAGTTCATACGGACTAAACAAAACGCTTGATACATAAAAGTTCACACAAGCATCTTGGGAATGGATCCAAACCCTGACCCCAGCGTTCCCACTGCTGCCCCTGCAGAACAGCAACAACCAGAGCAAGAGACCAGCAGTCAGCAGCCGGGCACAGATACAGAGATCGCCGCCAACACCACTCAGCCGATCAAGAGTGAGCAACAAGATCCACCCCCTCCCACAACACCTACTCCTGCTGTGGTAGACTCCGCCCACATTCAAGAAGCCCCACCCAAAGACCACCTGACAGTCATTGACGAGAACATGGAAACAAGTAAAGTGCTTTTTTGTTTTCAGAAGCATTTCTCATTGCGTTTGTTTATATTTAAATGTGAATTAATTTAGTTAAAAATGTATTTAATCATGTCGACCTGAAAAATCCAATGTCATTTAAAGACCACATGGCATCAAATCTAGAGTTTTGCAGAAATTAGTCCATGTCTGCTGGATTTGAGGTCATTTGTACGGCAAACCGTTTAGTTTTATTATTAAGTTTTAGGAATGCACCAAATTGTCCACTGTTGAAAACTATTAGTTGGAAAAAACATGATATATTTTACAGAACTTTCTTTTGTTTTAGATTAATAGAAAGTTCAAGAGTATTTTTAATCTGTAACTGTGATTTTTAAACAAATTTAAGGTCCACATTGTCAAACAAGGACAGACACAGAAGACCGCCAGAACACAATATGGGATTTCTTAGAAATTCCACAAGCAGAAAAGCATTGATTCAGCATGCTCAACTCTGATAAATGCCAACAGACAGAGTTAAAACATCCATTACTATCTATTTGGTTTGAGTTGGCCTCGTTGCATCCTTGTTGAATTCCAAAAAAACCTAATCTAATTCAATATATATATATATATAAATAAACAGACATTTTTAACAGGGTTAGTCAAGCTATGAGGGTTTTTAATGATCAACCTAGTCCCACTGTGATGAACAAGCTGTGATGCAAAATGAGCTCTCAGCATTTTGTTTCATCAGTCTGCTTCAGTGTTAACCTTCCAACTGGCCTTAAAGAGACGGTTTACCCCAAATATGAACAACTCCACACCATTTACTCGCACTCAAGTGGTTCCATGGCATCCACAGTAGGAACACAAGATTCAATGGTAGTCAATGGCTGCTTTTTTATATTCAGATATTCAGAATGTTTCCTTTTGTGGCCAACAGAAGAAAGACATTCATGAAATATTTGAAAAACTTGAGTGTTAATTAACATTTTGTGTGAACTATACCTTTAATTCTAGGCCCAAATTTGGCCATAAACCAAGAATCAGACTGACAAAACCATTTTCCACTGCGTTATTTGATACGATTTCGTTTTGCTTGGTTCTGTATTTCTCAGTTTGCATTTCCACTGCAGTTTAGTACTGCTTAAAGTTGATGAGATTATCCCTATAGTTGCACACTTTAACAGTCATGACATCATCATAAAAACGACATGAACAAAGCCACAAAACAACCCACAATACAGATACAACAGATGCTGCTGATGGATTGGTGTTTTTAAAGGGGTCGTTCACACAGAATGTGTTTGTCCTTTCCAACAAGCTACTTTTCTATTGTTTTCCAATGGTAACATGAACTTGATGGATGTGTTTGACCTTTCCGTTCATGTCTCGCATCTTCTGAACTGCTGCACATGTGAGCGCCGTGATTTTAAGATGCTGTGTCAAGTGGTAAAGTACAGATAGGACACAACTGCCGGCACTCACATCAATATAGCATCATTTTTATGACAATGTATAGCAATAATTAATATTTTTAGATTACTGTGAGGGTTGGGGTAGACATTAATAAAATACAATTTATTGTGTAATTTAATAAATAGAAAGTATTGTAGTTAACTTCCGGCTGCAAACGTATCTCATTTAGCATCATCCATATCAAGCTGAAAGACTTAACTTTTACATGCAGTGCAGCTCATCTCTGTCAGCTCCAAAAGCAGTGAACCAATGAGAAGAGCTCGGAGGCGGGGCAATCGTTGCGAGCACCAGTTTATAGTAGAAAGTTGGCATGACAATTGTTTTATTTACTGTTATAATATGGCTGACGAGGCTCTCGATGTTAATTTATCAAGATACCCAGCAGGGCCGGAGTGGGACTGCTTTTCAGCCCTGGAGTTTCAAGCCTCAGACCGGCCCACCTCAGTTCACGACTGACTATATTAAAATAAGGTCATTTCCAATTCAGGTTCTAATGACACTATCACGTCTTTTTTTTTTAGAAAACAGCTGCTTTAAAACTTTAAATGTTCAACAACCCTAACAGTATTATATGTCTCAACAATAAAAATGAAAATAATAAGATACTCAGACAAGGATAAAAACCCGGGTCGGCAACGTTGTAATCTAACGTGCTAACCACTGTACCACAACAGTTGTACAATGAAAGGTGACTTATATCATTATTAACCTGCAGGCTGGTTATATATAAAAAGAGCAGAGCTGCGGTAAAATAATGAATAAGAAGACTGTGGTCAAGTAAATAAATAAATTAATTTAAAAAGTGTGACTGCTGAGAGCAACAGATTCTGGAGCTAGGGACACCGGCCCTCGCGGCCAAAAAACGGACCGGCCCACTGGGAATTCTCCCGGTCCTCCCGATTAGCCAATCCGGGCCTGATACCCAGAGTTATGTAATGTATCTTCATGTGCTTATCATATTGTTTTCCTACTTCTAATGAGTCTTTTATTGTGGTTATTACATTATGTCCATAATATTGCATCACATGGACCTTGCTATGTGCTTTTTAAAACCCATTCCTGAGTGCCATTTCAATCGTATTTAGAAGCAAAGACGCATTCAGTGTGAATGAGCCATTAAACAGTGGCTGCTGCTGCTAACTATTGGTTTGGTTGGCAACTGTTAACTATTAAACAGCTTAACTGCAAATTATTGAGCTGGTTTGGTGTTGCAAATCCAGATGCAAACTAGTAATGATTATCTCTTACTTATCAGCAGTGTGTTTATGCCATATTCTAGTAGCGATACAGCTCACCTATAAGGAGGTACTAAAAAAGCATTATGTACTACTAGGTATCAAATGCATAGAAAAGTGAGCCATTCCGAACCAAACTGCACAATGCAGTGGAAAAGTCCCTATAAAGCGATTTAGAGTCTACTTTCACTCCTTTTCCAGCTTTTGCACCCTCCCCCTCTCTCTTTTCTTTTTCTCAACCGGCAGATGAGTCAGATGCTCGGTTACCCTCTACCAACACAAAATCAGATTCTGTGCCTCTACAATCTCAATTTGCATTTCTTTTAAAAGTGCAGGTCATGCGGGTTTTTAAACATATATTATTTCCAGTTTATCTTGTAGCTGTCCTTCAGTGCAAAGTTGATTGTCAAAAAAATGATAAAGTTATTGACAGTTAGCTGTAAATCACTCTAATGAGTCATTATATGTATATACTGTATCTACTTATATACTGATCTACAGTATATGAATAATTAGCTTCTGTCAGTGAAATATGAATATGACCATTTCATTTTTGAAATAAAATAGATACAGAAAGTCCTAAACAGATTTAAAATGATTGTTAAATTATATGCCTTATGTAATTATTTCCAATTTCCAAATTTACTTTGACTTTAATTGGAGACAATATAAACACAAAATATTTCATGTTTTGTCTGGTCAACTTCATTTCATTTGTAAATCTATACGTCCTTTCCTGTCATTCAGACCTGCAACACAATCCCCCCAAAAAAAGTTTAGACGGAAGCAGTTTAGGGCTAGTAATCAGGTAAATTGGTTAAATAATGATGTTATTTGAAACAGGTGATCTCAAGATGTGATTGTATTTATGATTTGGAACAAAAAAAGGCTTGGGGTCTAGTCCTTTAGGTTTGCCAACAAATACGTGAGAAAATTATTAAAATTATATGCATCATGTAATTATAATGTTTTCTGACCTTAGAGATGCATGTTTTTGGGGACTCCAATACAATATCAGAAGACACTTTAAAATGCATTTTAAATAAAACATTCTGGGTTGTCAAAACTCAAACATGAACAAACCGACTGTTAAGTAAAAAAGTGTAATTATAATTTAATTGAAAAAATAAAATTGTTTATATTTGAGACAAAATTGGGTTACAACAACACAGCATTTTTTAATTGACCATATGCCTTGCTCTTTAAAAATATACAGGCTGTAATATAGTAGGACTTCACAATATATTATTTCAGCATAAATTTTGCAATGTGCACGTGGGGAAAAAGGAAGTTATTTTTTATTACTTTTATGTCTTTTTTATTAGAAATAATGATTTAGACTGAAATGATAAAACTGAAAAATGTTTAGACTAACAACAGATTAATCAATCTTTTTTCTTTTGTATGATACCATATTTTAACCAAACATACTTCTCCATACTTCTTAAGGCTGATTTATACTTCTGCGTCAAACACCGGCGTATGCTACGGCGCTGACGCATAGTCCTCCGCCGTGGCCGTCGCCGTCACTGACGTGCACCTCTCAAAAAATGTAACTACACGTCGCAACAACGCGTAGCGCAAGCTCTGTGATTGGTCGGCTTGGTAGCGCTGACGAGTCGGGGTGGGACCGAGAGCCGCGCGAATGGCGTGAACCCAATGTAGCGACTGTTTACAAGTGTGGAGTCCTGTGAAGGAGCTCTGGATGGAAAGTTTTGTTTTGTGTCTACCTCATAGTTAAAGTTGCTGCACGTCCGCCGGTTCCTGCCTCAAAATTAGCGAGTTTGAGCCACTTGTACATCCCAGAAGTGTTCAGGAAAAGCAAAAAAGCAGCGAAGAAACTCGACACAGAGGAACATTTACACCTCACTGCCAACTAGCGTTTCGGAAGTGTTAATGCAGACCCACAGAGACAGCGCGCAGAAGTAAAAATGCACAGCCACGCGCGTTGCCTGCGCCGTGGGTTACGGCGGTCACTTGACGCAGAAGTATAAATCAGGCTTTAGAAGGAACTGTTGACAAGAGGGTAATAGCAGAAAAAGAATAAATATAGTGCAGGGGGCCTTGATCCAGACTTCGCTTCTGTCTAATAAAAAGTCTAGACATGTCACAAGGAGCTTGATGCTTGTATTAGTTAAATAATTAGTTAAATTAGTTAAATACATTAAAGGCACTTAACTGTTCAGTTGTGGTATGTAGAGAAGGGTTGCAGAAAGAGGAAGTGTGTTTGGGTGCAACAGCTAAAGGACTGCAGAATGACTGATAAGTGACGTCAAACCAAAACTCCATCTTTTAATACCAGTTGTGTATATATGCTGGAGTCAGGGAAATGTAAGTTAGTTGCAAACCTCCTGAATGTAATTCTTATGTTAAATTGGGAAAACGTAACCCACTTAGCTCTGTCATCGAACTATTCATTTGTATCTAATAAATTACTAATATTTTTGACATTAAAGAAAACTCTCCTGACCTCTTTTATTGAACACACATGGAATTGGCTAAATATTACAACATGCACATCTGCAAGATATGCAAAGTTGACTCTGAATTAGAGTTTACCAGAAGCTACAGAATCGTATTTTATTGCTGTATTTATACGAAATTTATGCAAAAGCAAAAAAAATATTACTAAGATTTCATTTTTGTCTTGTTTCTAGTCAAATTATTTACATTTCAAAGCAAAATAAGGTAATTTTACTTGCCCCACTGGCAGATCATTTTGCTTGTTTTAAGGAAACGCTCTTAATTTTGACTTGTATTTCTACTTAAGTTTTATATTTTTCAATATTTTTCAATATCAAGTATCAATATTTTTACTTGATCTAAGAATTGTTTTAATACTTAGGCTGAAAACACCCAAAGGAAAGTAAGAAAATCATTTATTGCATTGTGATAATTTAATTTCTGTACCTTAGTACTGTTCGATTCCCCAGAAAACCGTTGTTTTATAATCACTAGAGCACTGTATTCTGTATTAATGTTTCAAAATTAATATCAGTAAAAAAAAAAATATCGCAATATCAGATTTTTTCAATGCCATTCAGCCCTATAATGTAGACTCATGTAATCTGCTTTCTCACGTTTCTCGCTCTCTTTTCAGGTAATGGTGTTTGCTCGGCTCCTAAGGACAGTTCGCCGAGTGCTTCTTCCCCTCCTCGCCAGCTTCACGCCAAACCCAATCACGCGCACGCTAACGGCCGTGCCAGGCTGAGCAGCCGCTCTGGGTCAGTGAGTCATGCTGGGTCACCTCGACCGTCGCTCAGCCGTCAGCCCAGCGCAGCCACTGACGCTGGAGGAGACGGATCCAAACCCAACGACTTTCTGGTATGGGCAATTCTGGCCTGCCTCTGCCCTGTCTGGCCCATCAACATCGTAGGCTTGACCTTCTCAGTGATGGTGAGTGTGTTTGTGTGTTCAGGAGCTGTATGGATACAATTTCTGCAAAGTAAAAGCTGGTCACCTTTTCACTTCATTATGCAAAACAAGGCAAGTTTATATAGCATATTTCATACACTATGGTAATTTAAAGTGCTTTGCATAAACAAGAATAAAATAAACATGTAAAAGAAAATAAAAACAACTAGGAAAACAGATAAAACCTAATTAAAATGTGTTAAAACAGGTTATAAAAGAAAGAAAAAGGAAAGAAAGGCACAATAGTGCGATCTGTCAAACGTAGCACAGTGCTCATTCAGTAAAGGCACAGCTAAACAGATGTGTTTTCAGTCTTGATTTGAATGTGTCTTATGGTTGGAGCACATCTGATCATTTCTGGAAGCTGAAAGCAGTAGCTCAAGACTGATTCACCCTGCTTTGACTGAACTTTTGGAATTTCTAATTTACTTGATCCTAAAGATCTGAGTGATCTGTTAAGTTTGTATTCAGTGACCATATATGTAATGTATTGAGGTCCTTTAGGCCATTTAGTGATTTATAGACCAGTTATACTTTAAAACTATTATAAATGTAACTGGGAGACAGTGTAAAGACCTGAGGACAGGAGTGATGTGCTCTGATTTTCTGATTTTCTGCTCAGAATCCTGGCAGCAGCGTTCTGAATGAGCTGCAAGCAACTGTCTGACTGTGTTTTTGGAAAGGCCAGTTACAGTAATCCCCCCTGCTGCTGATAAAAGCATGAACAAGTTTCTCACAAGTCCTCACTGGCAACAAAGCATCTAAATATTGCAATGTTTTTAAGATGATAGTATGCAGATTTAGTTACTGTTTGACATGACTACTGAAACTGCAAGAATCAACTGCAACAATCAACTCATGCAAGAATCAAGGAGAGAGAATTGGAGTAAAAAAAGTAAAACATTTGTTACTGTTTTCGATAATCGCTTCTTATATGGTACAAAAATATTTTTTCAATGATATTTTAAAGTAAAAAAAATTATTTAAAAAAAATTATATATAATAATGTTTTATGTTTATAATAATATTTTTTCAATGATATTTTAAAGTAAAAAAAATATTTAAAAAAAATTATATATAATAATATATATATATATATATATATATATATATATATATATATATATATATATATATATATATATATATATATATATATATACACACACACACACACACACACACACACGCACACGCACACGCACACGCACACACACACATACATATATATGTGTTTGTGTGTTAGTGTGTATATGTACATATACGTGTGTGTGTGTGTGTGTATGAGCAATTCCATCTTTATGGATGTGACATTTGCAGTAAAATCAGCAAAGAAAGTCTATGCTAACATTATATATTGAAACATCACTTTATATTTTTCAAAACAACTACCCACAGAGTTGTGGGAGCAGAAAAATATCAATCTGTAAACATTTTTTCTATTTTAAATTAGGAAAATAAGCATGCATTTTGGTTGTGACAAAAAAAGTCTGCAAGTTTACAGTATACAACATACTTTGCCGAAATTCTGTGAATTAAACTGCACAACCCAAAAGAAATAATGCTTATCAAAAGGATAAAAGTTGAATCACTATAGAAAAAACATGATTTACTTTATTCGATTTTACATTTTTGCATTTATAAGGAAAAAGCTTTACTATGGATTTGATGGATGTGAAATTGCCACTTGTGTGACTTTGGTAAATTAAATATAATTGGTTGAAAACATTGACAGAGACATTTTTGAGTATATTTAAAGTACTGTTAAATACAAGTCTACACAAAAAACGAAGAAACGGTTTCACTATTTTGGCGAAAACCTCATTTTTTTCATGGCATGGTTGACATTTGCATAGAATTGCGCACACACACACACACACACACACACACACACACACACACACACACACACACACACACACACACACACACACACACACACACACACACACACACACACACACACAGTTCAATATTCTCTATAGGATACCTTAAATTAATATATCTGTGCATATACATTAGATTAGTCAGTTCCAAAGCTAAAAATTAAACTAATCTAACAAAAATAACCTTTGTAAAAAAAATTGTATTACCAAAATTAATAGGTTGGGGGAAATAGTAAATAAGTTAATCAGGATTATTAAATAAATTTAAAACATGAAATTCAAAAGAAACATACAAACTAATCTACTAATTTGGTTGCAATTTTGTGGTTTGTACGTTTTTTCAATATCTTGTTGAATTTAAATGTATTATCTTTCTATACCTAACAATGTTAGGTGACCAAACTTTTTAATAAATATAACTTCTAGTTAAATGCACGAAAAATTATTGGCTATATTCACTGGGAAATTGTTAAAAAGAGTATAATTGTTTTATAGGAATACATAAAGATGTAATGCTTAATGCAAATCTTTATTTGATGTCTAAAATGTCTAAAGCCAGGGGGAAAAGGTTCCTCTTTACACACTGGGACTAGCACACTAACAAAAGAAATATCAGCAATATATTCATATAGCTGCACATATTTTGTACATTTCTGTTACTAACAATTTTAGAGCACATTTCTTATAAATCTTTTTAATTTATTTTTATTTACAACAACACATACTCTGGATCTCCATCTACATTGAATTGAATTGAATTTAGTTGAATTGAACATTGTACTGTACAATGTCCTCGAAACACATTTTGAAATAATTTTGGTATACTTTTAATAAATAAAAAATATTTTATTGAGCCTCATAATTACAAAATATATTTAAAATATATTTTAGCAAGATAAAAAAAATATTTTACTGTATTGGAATTATTGATTTTGCTTTTAGATGTATTTCCTCTATTAACTGAACTTCTCTTTCCACTGTCAGTCTCGGAACAGCCTTCAGCAGGGTAATGTGGATGGTGCACGTCGTCTTGGCAAGAATGCAAAGATCCTGTCTATCGTGTCACTGGTGGGGGGGATTGTCATCATCGTTGTTACTATCGTCATCAACTGGGGTGGTGAGTATGCTTACCGTGAGTAAACAAGCATGTGAAACTGAGTGCAATCCTAGAGCTGATTTAATTTAGCCAACACAACTTCATTGAAAATATGTGCTTCAGCCTACATTTTTGTGAAACAAACAAAAAAAGTATTTCAACATAGGAATGCAGATACTTAATTAAAATGAACGCTAGGGGGCAGTATATGGCAATAACTGTTGTTCCTTTTTACACTAATGATATTTACATAGGTATATTATTGATGAAATAGGATTATTTACAGGCACAACACTAAATAAATACCACAAAGCAACTTAATTGTGTCTATGATTGTAGGTGAATTAGTTTGTCTATCTCCATATGCACTACTCTTTTGGCCAGTTTGCTCAGTAGCTCACCTTGTATGTTGTTATCCTCAGGTTTGATTCCAGTAAAGCAAAAAAGAGATAAAAGTAATATAAAATCAAGGTAAAACTATGTGGTCGTAGTGCACTTTTCTTTTATGTTTGTTTTTGAAAACAAGATTGGTTGGGTTTAGGGAATAGTATAGGTCAGTGGTTCACTAGCTGATTTTACAAGCTCATGCACATGTACAAGAAGGACATGTATATGAAATGTACAACAAAAATGTACCTTAAATGACATATTTCAGATTCGCAATAATGTAGATGGCGCCCTCTAGTGGATTGATCTGAGTCTGCAATGGGTTTAGGTCAGTGTCAGATTGAAGCTACAGATTGAAGCTGTAGGCCACAGTCAGGATTAGATCTGATTATAGGTGAGATTGATTGTTAATGGATCTTGTTAGTTTGTTAGCCTGAGACCACTTCAGGGTCTGGATTAAAGATAAGGTATTTTTATTGTTAGTTGAATAAGTTAATTTCACAGCTCACTTGTTTAAACAGGGTATTATATCCTAAAAGATTTCTTGTTGGTTGAGGATTTTAAATATGACATGCTGTATATATTTATGTCCTACTTTAAGATTTCAGAAAACCCATTTATGCTTTATTAAAAATGTTTATCCACAGCCGCCCTCTATTTCATTATGGTTAAAGATTTATTAATATCATAAAAATGGCAACATTTTATTACTTATTTTGAACATCCTGGATATCCTGGAGGTAGTTTTGAGTTTGGATTAGTGGGTAATTCTTCTGTAATTCTAAGGGTGACTATACCAACTTGTTTAAAGCAATAGATTATCATTATTATATAATTTTGATTGTATTATTATTTTTTTGGATGTTACTGTACTCAGAAGAGTTCTTTGGAATGAGGATGTGGGGTTTGAATGTTATAAAATGTCAAATACAATATTTGCTTCAATACAAATACATAAATGAAAGGCTTGTTGTAACAATCAAAGGCTATTTAAATATACCCCCTGTGTTTTTACATCATACCACCGTAATCATGACCAAAAAAAAAACATTTAATAAAAATCTTTATAAATCTTAATTTATTTTGATCTAGTGTCCATTTTTTTAAAAGGTTTATGCATCATTGTTGCATAAATTTGTTAACCCTCAATGAAAAACAAAAACAATCATTCATTCATTTTCCTTCGGCTTAGTCTGTAATTAATCAGAAGTCGCCACAGCGGAATGAACTACCAAAAAACAAAAACATTTTAATATTTAATATTCTAACCAACTTCATGAAATTTGTCAGGATAATTTCCTCTGGGTGCTCCAGTTTTCCTCACAGTCCAAAGACATGTGGTATAGCTGAATTGAATAAACTAAATTGGCCGTAGTGTATGTGTGTAAATGAGTGTGTTTGGGCGTTTCCCAGTACTGGGTTGCAGCTGGAGGGCCATCTGCTGCATAAAACATACTGGAATAGTTAGTAGTTCATTCTGCTGTGGTGACCCCTGGTAAATAAAGGAGCTAAGACAAAGGAAAATAAATGAATGAGTGATAGAGTGTTTATATGTATTTAAACTTGTTATGTCTCAAACGAATTCTCTTCTTCTCTCTCAGTAATACTGAAGACCTGATGGCCATCAGAGTTCTTTAACCTCAACAGACCCCAGTGACCATCATTTCTTCATCATTCTTCTCTACATCTGAATGCTCTTGAATGCTTTTCCAGTTTGTTTTATTCTCGGTCTGAGAAGCTGGATGCTATCTTTACCTTCTATCATCTCAGAACTATCAAAAAAAACCAACAACATTGATTCTTCATCTCTTCGAATGCCCTGGATCACGACCAAAGGCATGCATGTTTGTTTTTTCCTCTGTTTTTTTTAAACAAAGGAGATGATGTCAGCGAGGAGACCACCAACATGATCTCATTCCATTCGTCACAGGCCCCACGAGGATGTGAAGGAGGAGAAGAAGCAGAACGAAAACCATTGATCAGTTTATGAGACGTATTTTCATGCATAGGATCTCTCGGAAGCCAGAATCCATCCAGAAAAGATGGGATCGATTACATAAAACAGCAGATGGCTTCTGCATTGGCATCAACCCACAGATTTACTATTAAAGCTGCTCTCGGTTTTCATATTTCCTCCAAAACTGAGATTTTTTTCTTGGCTTAAACGTTTCTTATTGGACACACTGATTGTATCTAAGGTGTGAAAGAACTGCATCAGATCTTCGTTTTGTTCCCACACAGATATTACGATGCAGGTTATCACAAATAGATGGAAAAAAAAACGATGTATCAGAGACTGAAGGAGGGAGAGGTGAAGAGAAGGCGAGGCTGCGGTCTTTTGTTTCATACAGAAGGAGGGATAAAGAGAGAGAGAGAGAGAGGGATACAGGAGGAAAGGAGGGGCTTCAGATGAAAAGATACCCCAGAGATGAGGAGATGGAGGGAATGCAGTAGAGGGATCTGGGCGGCTTCTGATTGGCTAGCTCTGTGTGTGTGTGTGTGTGTGTGTGTGTGTGTTAGTGTGAAGAATCCAATACCGTGATTCTCTCCAACATGCCCTCCCTTCTTCCTTACAGCAGTGCTCAGCCAGATCCTTCAAGGCTAACAAAAAAAGACGAAGAAATCATTAATTCATTGTGTTTCAACTGTAATGTTTACAATAGAATCAGACTCTTGAACGTTATGGGATGTTTTACATGAGCTTACAAGCTGTTTGTTCGCATTTGTTTTAGGTTAACAGAATGATACCTGGATTATTCCTGGTCAGGCCACACACCACACACACACCAACTGTGCCAAACGTCAGAATCTTGCCAAGACTCCAGCTGTTTGTGACTGAAAGAGGAAACGAGCGCATGAATGCATATTAAGAAGGCATTTGTGTAGGGATGCACTGATTTTAACAAATCTAGCCCCATACTGATAATGCTGATTAGTTGACACTGACGAAAAATATTTGTAAAAGATCAATGTCGTTTTTATCTAAATCAGTGTTTCTTAACCACGTTCCTGGAGAAGCAACAGCACTGCACATTTGCATGCCTCCTTACCCAAACCCACCTGAATCAGATCATCACCTTGTTAGCAGAAACTGATGCTGCGTCCCAATTTGCATACTTATACTTCGCCCTAAAAGTATGTTCTTTTTTTGTGGAGGAAAAGTATGTACTTTTGAGTGTGTAACAGAAGAGTATGCAAGCTTTGGGACATACTAATTCCTTGTTAATAAATCGTTGTCCACATTTCATATTCAGTTACCTACATTATTGGAGAAGCAGCAGCAGGATAATCTCACATTCACGCAGAGAAATCTCCTCAGGTCTTCTTTAGATAATTAAACAGAATTCATTCAGAAGTCCGAACATATCTTGACTTGACTTCACATTGTTGTTGTAGATGAAATATAACATGGAAATCGTGATTTAAATATGTTCCAGTTGGCTATATGTTGATTTTCAGGCATTCAAACAACTTTATGAAGCCTTTCTAATTGATCATTGGTCTTGTGCATCCGCCATGTTTGTAGTTTATTCACACTTTTTACCCGATTTTGTAGTTCTAATCAAATTTATGTCCAACGCGCACTGTATTGTGGGCAATATCATCGGTTAGAGTATGGATGGTTTGAATATTTAGGGAATAGTAAACCGTCCGGGAACCTTTGGCATACTCTTTCCAACATACTATGGTGTGGGATTTACTAATTCTATTTTCGAATACTTTTAGGATGGATGGTATGCGAATTGGGACACAGCATGAAAGACCTGAAATGGGTGTGACATACAAAGGAGATGTCCAAAACATGCAGTTCCGGTTTTCCTCCAGGAACGTGGTTGAGAAACACTGACTTAAATTAATGATATAAATAAAGACTAAAAGTACATTTAGGCTTGAAAATAATTGAGAAATTCTAAAATTGTCAAAATTGAGCATTTCTAAAGGGTTATTTAATGTTTTTTTAAAGATTAAGTGAGATGATTTTGATGATGTAAAGTAGTTTAAAATGATCTAAAATGTATTAAATGAGCAGACTGGATAAAAATAAAAACTGCAGATACTTTCAATATCATTTCAAATAGGATGACTGATAAATAAATAAATAAATAAATAAATAAATAAATATTGAGCTAACTAATAGATTACAGATGACTCAGATGATTAGACTCCAATATCAGCTAAAAAGTCAAAAATACAAAATAAAAGAAATTAGGATTCATAATTTATCGCTCATACAATAAAAAAATAAATTATTGGCCCTTATGTGAAATTTTAATACATTTTTAACTAGCGCTGGGCCGATAAACGAAATCATATCCAAAGGCGACAAAATTTATGTCAATAACAATGATAAGTCCTGGATTTTTTTACTCTATATTGATCTAAGAGCGAAAAAATGTGCAGCAATGGGAGTCTAAAAGTGTGTTCATATCAGATGTAACAAATTTATTGGCTGAAAATATGTTATGCCATTTAATGCAGCCTCTAATATTTGTGGCTTCAGTCATTGCTGTGGTACTCTTTTAAATCTGGAAGCATTAACAAATGATATTGAAATATATATCATTATCGTTCAATATGGAAAATAATTATCGTGATTGCATTTTTGCCATATCACCCAGCCCTTTTTTTTTTTAACTATTTCCCAAGTGTTGTTTAACAGTGAAATGATTCTTAAACATAAGGGTTTTTAATAACTAATTTCTTTTTAATTTGCCTTGATGGCAGTACCTAATATTTCACCAGTCATTTTGCAAGATACTAGTATTCACCTTAACAAGGTTAACTATGTTAATCAGTTAATCTGGCAAGTCATTGGACAAGAGTAGTTTGTTCTGTAGCCAATTGAAGAGCTACATTTCATAATAACATTTTCAGTTTTAATTTTCAATATTTATTTAGTCCAGTCAAACTAAAAAGAAATTAGACTTTCTCCAGAAGAAAAAATAAAATAGGAAAATATTGAACAAAAGAATTGAACAACTTGCTCAATCACATATGCAATATCAGGAAAATAACCCATCCAACAGCAAATCAAAAAATAGGACCAAACTATAAATGTAAAAAAAAATCAGCCAACAACCAAATATGACTCCTGCTATCGTGCATCCCTTCATATATTTGTAATTCTTTCACAGATAACATCACAAATCCCTCATTCTCATGACTTCAGGTTTCTCGCACACAGAATGTGATGATGTTTACAGTTTTTCCCAGAGACGAGGGCACTTCCTTACTCTTCTAAAATCAAGTACTCTTATTTTTTTACGAGGCAAAACCTTTGCTGTGTAGCACTTTGTAAATGTGCATCTTCCTCACTATCAAAGTGTTTTGGGTAGTGAGAGTCTGACATTTTTATGGCTTGCAGTGGGTTTGGTTTTCATGAACGGACGGGGCTACAATCTTCATTTTAATACATTTCAGTTAGCCATTAAATATGAATGAGCGTAGCATGCACATTTGATCCATCTCGGCGTGCGGTCAGTGAATGCCAGCTTGACTTTTGTTCTCTTGAATAGTTCTGCTCAGCTATTTAAATTTAACCTGCAGCTTACACATTCACGCTTGTATATATATAGAGTATATACACAACGTATGTATATATGTGTCTGTACATATTTGAACCGCGTCTGGTGATCACAATCTCTCTTTCCGTGGGGATGAACAGTGTCCATAAAATGCAAATCTTGACTGTTAACACTGCAGTGCTTTCACAAATTTGATCACCGTTCAGTATTTTTTATTATTATCGGTGTGTATTTTGAGATCGCCCTCTCTGTTTTGTATGCCGTTTGTGCTTTGCTAAACATTTCGACTTTACAAGCATGTTTACACAGCGATTTCAGATGGCCTATGCTGCACAAGTGTGATAAATATATGAAGAAATGTTTCAGACACCAGCCGAGTTGTCCAATTCTCTGGGTTACAAATTCTACCTGCTGTTTAGAGTATATAGTATATATATATAAGCATATATATGTGTCGATAATAAATGCGTTTTTGTGTTTCGCAAACATGCCATCCCATATAGAAATCTGATGGATACATAGCGGGGGAAGGTGCAACGGAGGCCGGCTAGCAAATTGCTATAAAGGTGACAGATGCTAGAGACCAAAGTCTTTAGACTCGTTGTTAGAGCAACCGACTCCAGTTCGATCCCAGCTCAGAATGGGATGTAGTAGGACCGATGGGTTACATGTGGGGGCTCGTCCGGGATGGGAGTGAGGTTTAGGGGGGTGAGTATAACGAAGGCCAGCTAGCGAAGTGTTATGCAAGTAATCCCATTCCTCTGACCTCTAAAGGTTCTCTAGCAACAGACGCTAAAGGTCTAGTCCTTAGCGCCCTTGTTAGAGCAACCAATGCCGATACAAAGAATCACCAGTTCAATCCCAGCTCAGATCGTAATGGATGTAGTAGGACCAGTGGGTTACACATGAGGGCTTGTCCGGGATGGGAGTGAGGTTTAGGGAGGTGAGTGTAACGAAGGCCAGATAGCGAAGTGTTATGCAGGTAATCTCACCTCTCTGACCTCATAAGGTGCCCTAGCGACAGACCCTAGAGGCCATTGTCTTTAGCCTCTTGTTAGAGCAACTGACTCCCATACAAAGAATCACCAGTTCAATCCCAGCTCAGATCGTGTTGGATGCAGTAGGACCAGTGGGTTACACATGAGGGCTTGTCCGGGATGGGAGTGAGGTTTAGGGAGGTGAGTGTAACGAAGGCCAGATAGCGAAGTGTTATGCAGGTAATCTCACCCCTCTGACCTCATAAGGTGCCCTAGCGACAGACCCTAGAGGCCATTGTCTTTAGCCTCTTGTTAGAGCAACTGACTCCCATACAAAGAATCACCAGTTCGATCCCAGCTCAGACCGGGATGGGTAAAGTAGGACCGGTGTTTTATATGTGGGGGCTCGTCCGGGATGAGAGTGAGGTTTAGGGGGTGAATGTAGCAGAGGCAGGCTAGTGACGTGCTATGCAGGTAAACCTCACTCCTCTGACCTTAAAAGGTGATTAGCAATGAACGCTAGGGGCCATGGACTTTAGCTAACTTGTAAGAGGAACCGTCGTCCATGCAAAGTATTTCTGGTTCGATTCCTGCTCAGAACCGTATGGGTAAAGTAGGACTGGTGTTTTACATTTGGGGGCTCGTCCGGGATGGGAGTAAGGTTTAGGGGTGTGATTGTAACAGAGTCCGGCTAGCGAAGTGCTATGGAGGTAAACCTCACTCCTCTGACCTTAAAAGTTGATTAGCAACGGACGCTAGGGGCCATGGACTTTAGCTACCTTGTAAAAGCAACCGTCGCCAATGCAAAGTATTGCTGGTTTGATTCCTGCTCAGAACGGTATGGGTAAAGTAGGACTGGTGTTTTACTTTAGGGGGCTCGTCCGGGATGGGGGGTAAGGTTTAGGGGTGTGACTGTAACAGAGGCTGACTAGCGAAGTGCTATGGAGGTAAACCTCACTCCTCTGACCTTAAAAGGTGCTCTAGCAACAGAGGCTAGAGGCCATGGTCTTTAGCCTCCTTGTTAGAGCAACCGACTCCCATACAAAGAATCTCTGGTTCGATCCCAGCTCAGACCGGAATAGGTGCAATAGGACCGATGGGAC